ATGCTGAAATACCCCCCACAGTGCTGCGGAAGGATCCCCAATGACATGGTGGGAGTGGGGGTTCATGAAAGTGGTGGGTGCGTTGGCATGGTTTTTACCTAGAATGGCAGGGCTGAAAGATATCGACAAACCGACGACTATGGGAGATTCAGAGTTTTTCTTTTCTCTCGTCATCCCACCACACCCCAATATGATGTATCCCACCCACCCTTCGTGTCGATACAGTAGGGCTCCGTACTCCGGACTCGCTTGAGAAAATTTCTACAGCCCCATGATGTGCCGGAACCAGGTCGATACTCTGAAAATAAGGAAGTAAGGGACATCTCAGTTCGTTCTTTGGACCAGCGCGGGCACGCCGCGGCCGAAACGGAAACGAAAATTGAACATACTGAAAAAGTGCACTTTTGTCTTCATATTTCTTTTTTTTTTTGTGACCTACATCGATTCATCTTCTCGGGCTTGGTCCGGCGATAAATATTGACAGATGACTGGTGCATGGCGGCGCCGAAAGGCAGGTTCCTCTTTGTCCAAAGGATCTTTGAAAATATCGACAATCTCGAGGCATGACCCTGTTTGCTGACACTTACTTGTACGACATACCATGGAATGGTCTGTTAACCTTGTCACACATCTCAGCCCCCGTTACGACATATTCTGCACTCTGTCACCCTGTTCCATGTGTAGCTCGGAGAGCCCGTCGAGGTAAACGAGACCAAGACGTATGAGACGCGAAACACAATGCAAAACCATTTGCCCCCGTGATGGATCACTGTTTGCAATCCCTAGCATCTCGGAGTGGTATCGGCAATGCAACGATATCTTTGAACATCAAGAACAGATCCCTGATATCACCTGCGCCGTGACAATGCTGGCAAATGCGCTGATATCCAGGGATCTGGCCCTTCTTTTACCCCTTTGTTTAACTTTACTGTCCCACTATCCGCAAGAACTGCTCGGCCATGTATCACGGTCGCGCCGGCACTGATCGAGTTCTGTGGATTCTACGACATAGTTGAGCGGACTTAGTTCCGTCCTTCTCTAGTCTCGATCTCGCCGAAGAGCTAGACGAGAACCCATCCATACAAAAACTGTCGGTGTGCGCCACAGGACGCCATGGACACTTTTCAAGGAGATGTCAAAATGCGAAAGTACCAGAACCTACGTCACTTTAAAGAGCTGCTCGTCCAAGGCCGTGGCTATCAGTAAGGGCCGACTCACATTTACGACGGCACGCATCCAAACAATACTCACCCACTCACACACTGCAAAGTGTGTGCGTGTGAGAGAGCTTTACTCCAAATTTTGAATGGATCTTTATGTACGACGCAGTCCGTACGGAGTACATGCTATGCTACACCTCATTTCCTCCCACCCTCATGCAAAATGCAAAGAAAAGAAAAGAAAAGAAAAGCACAGTACAAGGACAACGTACAAGGGCAACGACATCGAGAACGTGTTCAATAAACTCCTGCGCCCCTGCACATGAACAGAGAAATTGGAGGGAGGGCACAGTTAGTGGCAAGGGCTTGGGGGTGTAGTGGGGGAGAACCTGCAACCCGACAAAACAAGATGAGGGTGTCTGGCTCGACAACAACAAATGGCGACGCAACTGCATAATGTAAGGTCAATGATCGTCTCATTGCGTCTTGCGAGTAAGTGTGTCACACGACATGGTGCAGGGAGAACGAGTTGCTATGAATACATGCTGCGGCGGTGGAAATGCCCATTCCAAAGCAGAGTGGTGAACAAGTGGGCAGGGGATGGATACTGATACGTAAAACACTCCGTAAAGGCGTAGGATAGTATCAATCAGTTTTATGGCGTAAGGCGTCCATTATGTATAAAGTATGCATATGGCAAGGCCACCAAGCATCTACCATTAAAGCTGACCTAGGTGAGTCACAAGATGTACATGTTGAGGTGCTTCCCTGTGGCATACTCATGTTTCGGGCAAAGGAATACTCTGTGTCAGTACTCTGAACGAGCATAGTTCTAGATCTTTGAAATGGTCGACATCGTAGCCAGAACAAACTGCCCCATTGCAGATCCAAGCGAACAATCTGAAGCATAACTTAAATGGACACGGGCTGGAACCATGGCATTTCCACGCAATCTTGAGCGAATCAGGGGCTCGCCAGGACCGGCGTGTGTGGGACGCAGACCATTTGTGGCCATTTAGGTGCCATCTTCTTATATCCCCAAGTTTACGACACAGTATGCTTTCTTTTGGGGGGCTGACAACGACACCAGACAGCACCATGGACTAGTCCCCTGTAAACAACCTCACGACGTAATTACATATCAAAGCGAGTTGACAAGGAAGCTTTGCGGTTGAACGATAAATAAGCGCCACAAGCTCTGTGGCCTGGACACCTTGCCCTCGTCAGCACTATCAACAAAATATATATATGTGTATTCACCACCCGGTACCAAAGTTAGAAACAGGAAAATAAAAAAGAAAGAAATCATAGCCTTGTTTCTGCTGTACGGCCCAAGATCTATCTTGATCATCCACCGGCACGCCGACCGCGTGGTTGGCATACGGGTTATCATCAGATCTGTTGGTGAACACTGGTCTGCAATTGTAAGATGCTAGTATGAGTTTTTAGGATTAATTTTGTTTTCTGAGACTTTATTATCCATATTATAATCTTGTAGTTAAAGATTAAATTTCTTCACTATTTACTTCACAAAAAGGTAAATAACAAATATTGCGGGAAAATGTGACATGAAGAGCAGCTGTATGTATAGTCTTTTCGGTCTACGTTTTACAGGCAAAGCTTCACTTTGTTTAACTCCTCCACGCACCCCCAAAATCGTTTTTGTTTTCGTCCGAGTTCACCTTACCAGTGTATCATTTTTGAATACTATCTAAAATTGTACTGCGAGCAGTTTTCTGGAATGTCGCACAATTTCAACCATATGATTGCCATTTCAATCTCTATATGCGACAATATCACTCCTGTACTCCGTATATAGATTATAGAGCTGAGATAAATCAAACTTGTTCGCTGTTCCTCCGGGTCGCCCCCTGTTAGACATCAGAGCCGATGCCATGCAAGATTCACGTATAAAACAATTTGCAATGTACACAGGGTTATAATGGTCATGCTGTGTCTCCAAGCGATGCCAGTTGGTGCGATTTGGACGGCTCATCGCCGTCATGGGCAGAGTGAACGAAGTCGCACTAGCAGAGAACAGAGACATGATCCGAGTTCCGGTTTTCAGATACTATCATGGAGGGCGTGAACAAAAAAACGCGCTCAAAATTACACGACTCTGAGTATTGTCTCAGCGTTCTACGAAGCCAAGCCTTTTATTTATTTTTGCATACTTCGGCGCTTTGCTTATTTTGTCAGCCCTAGATGCCAAAAGATAAAGAAGCAAAAGGTAAGAGCTTGTAAGCGGCGTTCTTTGCTTATTTTGCTGCCATTTACCGTGTCTCTTACGCCTCCGACGAGCATGGATATTTATTTGTATCCATAGACGGACCAAAGAGGGCTATACATGCCTCCACTCTCAGTGCAATGGACGCAAAGCTCCATAGATCCATGCAGAGTGTATGACGATCCATGCAAAGGGCACATGGGGACATGTCTTGGTTTAAGCAAAGAGGGTCGTTTGATGTCGGAGCTGGCGAGCGAATTATAAGGGCAAACATAGGTCGCACAAGGGATGGAGGAATAGAACAATCATTATTCGAAACCCGGACCATAATAAAGAAATGATAGATAAACTTGCTGAATATAACAGAGTAGGATCCTTGGTAGGGCGATGTACTCAAAAACCGTCTTTGACCTCGAAGCATATCAATATAGTTGACTAGACTGGTTCCGAAGTGAGTGTATGTCCTATGATGCTTTTCAACTTTGTCAGTAATTTTTGCCCAGCCTCTTATCGAATTTCAAATGTCTCGGTCATTCTTTCATTGAAAAGTCTACTGTCATGAAGCGTTGGCCGCCTGATACGTTGCTCGTTATAGAGCTCTTCACTTCATACTGGAAGAGCTCTTGGGGATATTTGGAGGTAAAGCCCAGTAGGGAAGTATGTAATCAGCTCTAGCCCTTATGAAGCAAAAAACGATACTGCCAACTGCTCATTGTCACCATGTGCTCCTGCTGTGTGTATGGGGGTGAGGTTTGCTCAGTTTTCAATATATAAAATGGAACATTACAAACAAAACGTTGATCTGATCACCACCGTCTCGGCCTATTATTTTCTTTGGCGGTATTCCCCACGTTTCTTTGTTTCTATTATGCACTATCCCGAGCCCTAAAACCGGGCTCTGTGCGGGGGCACTTGCCTGTTGCATCCCGCTGTACCCGTATAGCTCGATCTCCCGGCGCTCCTTTGCGCCTTCCCTGTAAGAACCCGCCCGCGCTAGCTTCGCATTACGAAAGAACAACTTCTCTTTCCTCGCAGGGGCAGGCCCGCAGCCAGCCTCGGGAAGGTGCGGTTGGTCTTGTGCCAACTGGCGACTGCCCGCACATCGCGACATCTGGGTTTTACCTGACAATCCTAAATCCCAATCGAGAGACCTGCTTCTTCATTCACGCCGCTTGCATCCAACCAATCCAGACACGCACAACCACCAAGAACGCACCGCCGCACTGCCTTCTATCCGTATTTTACGCTGCTTCGCCCAAGGTTCTGTCAGGCCAATCTCTCCCACATACGCCCACCGCCAATTGACCAGACTTTAGAGACCAGCCGCGTGCAGTTTTGCCCGGGCCTCGCAGTTCTCGTTTGCGATTTCTGTTTCAATTCGTTACCTGTATCTCTTTCTCTTTCCCTCTTCGCCACCTTTGCCCTATCGCTGTCTCGTCGGCTCCATCCATACAGCTGAGCTTTCTGCAATTTCTGGCTGGGCCGCACGTACCAGTCTGGGCCGACTTCCACCCACGCGGTAACGACCGATACGAGCAGGACGAAGACCAACCAACATCGGCTTTGTCCGTCTCTACCAGTCCGCCTAGCCATTGGAACGTGCACGGCGCTTCTCACACCGACGCCTCGTCAATCCTCAGCAAACGCCAGTCGCCAACCGCCGACCGAGATGGCCCATTCTTCTGCCTCCCCTGTTCCTGCGGCCGATCCGTCCAAGTTAGTCCTCTCGCGTCTCCGATTCCTCTGACCCCCACACATCGTCCTTCGTTGGGCTGTGTGTTTTGTGCCTCTTTGTATTTGTGTGCGTGCACAGCTACTTTGCTGTTCTGAGCTGATACAGGTCCAGGCCGGTCCACATCGTCTTTGTCGGAGCTGGCGCCGTGGGATGTTTCTATGCATCGAGACTTCATTACGTATGTTTTTACCTTCTGCCTTATTTCGCATCCCCATCTCTGTCACAAGACCATTTACGCCATTTGAGGTGGCCGTCCTGGCGATCCAAAAAGCTGGACATTGACAGAGAGAGGCTGTCGGTCATGCTTTTTGGTCATCGTCACCTGCCACCTCTCCACCCCAATCCTCGACCGACATCTGAGTGCCCCTGTTATAATATTCTGTTTCATGTTGCTGACTGTTGCTGCCTTGTTGTTTTCTTTTTCCTTGACCGTCTTTCTTTTCAGCCCGATCACAACATTCACGTTTCGTTGATTGGCCGTTCCAACTACGCAGCACTCGCCAAGGACGGCGTGCAGCTGCACACCCACACATTCGGCGATTATGTCTTCCATCCCCACGCCGTCTACCCGTCCGCCAACGCCGCCGGCGGTGTTGCGTCTGGTGGTGCAGGCAGCTCGTCCGATGCCGTGCCACCACCGCCACCAGGTGGTTGGGACTTTGTCGTCGTGACCACCAAGGCGCTGCCGGACCGGGTTGACGATTCGGGCACAATTGCACCGCTGGTCGGGCCAAAGTCGACCCTTGTTCTGATTCAAAACGGCGTGGGTGTTGAGGCCCCGTACCGCGCCCGCTTCCCCGACACACCCATCATCAGCGGCGTCACAGTGGTCAGCGCGGAACAGATTAAGCCCGGCGTCATTCGCCAGAACCGCTGGACGCGCCTGCACATTGGGCCCTACACTTCGTCGGCTGAGTCGTCGTCGTCGTCGTCGTCGACTTCGCCTTTGTCTTCGTCTTCGTCACCACCCTCCGTACAGATTGATGAAAACAGCCCTCTCACAAAGCGGGGCACCGAGGCAACCTTGCAGCTGACCGACTGGTGGACGCGTCTCGGTGGCATTCGCGACATTGATCCGCTCGACGAGGTCGGCCTGCAGACGGTGCGCTGGCACAAGCTGTGCATCAACGCGGCCTTCAATCCATCGGCCGTGCTGTCGGGCGGCCGCGGCAATGCTGATATGGCGTCGGACCCAGAGCTGCGCATCCACCTGCGCGCCGTCATGGACGAGATCTGGGCGGCCGCCCCTCGTATTCTCGGCCGGCCCTTCCCCTCCGACCTGGCCAGCCCGGACAAGATCCTGGCGAGCACCGACCGCAACAAGGGTGCGCGCCCGAGCATGCTGCTGGATTGGGAAGCCGGCCGGCCGCTAGAGCTCGAGGTCATTGTCGGCAACCCGGTCCGCATTGCCCGCGCACGCGGCGTCGAGCTGCCGCGCATGCAGAGCCTGTATGCCCTGCTCCGGAGCTCGCAGGCTGTGCGGGAACAGACGAGGAACAAAGACAAGGGAAAACTGTAAAACGTCTTGCAAAACTGGCCAGTTGGGGTTGGGTATATGTAATGTTGACATGTAGATTTTCGTTTATATATAACCAAGCGTCCAAATGTCATTCTGGTATGAACCCGCCACCGCCGTAATCGTCGTCGGTTATGAAGCCGCCGCCGCCACCAGTAAATTCACCGTCGCCGTCGTCGTCCACGACCATGTCAAACTCTTCCGTCACGTCACTCTTCGCGTCGTCGACGGCATCGTCTTCGTCGCTGTCCAGCCTTCCTTGGTTCTCGTCTTCGTGGTCCACAACCTCGTCGTCATCGCCTTCCTCCTCTTGTCCGTCTCCGTCGACCAACTCGCCACGGTCCTCGGCCGCGTTCCGGATCCGCTGCCGAATGCGCAGACCGCGCAGGAAAAAGGTCCAGGCACGCAACGCAGCACGCGTCCGCCGCTCGGCCACAGCCTCCACAGCAAGGTCTTTGAGCCCCGCCAGAACCGCTCTCACGGCCTCGGCATGCTCTGTGGCGACAACGGCACCGCGCAGCACGGCCGTGCCTTTGCGGCCCTGGAAGTTGAAGCCGGACAGCGCCGGTGCATAGTCGACACCCAGCATGTACGCGGCGCGGCCGGCAGCCGCGTCGTCAATGTGCTCGCCGCCCTCTGGCACCATGCTCGGCACGTACAGTTCAATGTTGCCAAACTTGTTCTTGGGGATACGGCCGTCGACGACGGGCGGTGCGCGGTACAGCTCTGTTTGCTCCGGTGTGAAGATGGGGATGCCGAGCGGGCTCGGATGAGATCGGGACTGGCCAATACCGCCGACGGCGCTGTCGCCGAACAAGTCGTCTTCGTCGTTGTCGTCGTCGTCGTTGTCGTCGTCGTCGTTGTCGTCGTCGTCAACGCCATCACTCTGGCTCTTGTGGCCCCTGACACCACCGTCGTCGTTGCCTTGGTCGTCAAAAACCCCTCTCTTTCGAGGTTTGGGCAGCCACTTGGCAGGGATCTCGTTGGGCAAGACCACACGGCCCAGCCGGTACCAACGGTCGGCGCTGTAGGCAATGCGAACATCCCGCCGGCGGTAGATGCGCTCAAGCGGCGCTTTGGCGCCGGCCGCGACGGTGCCGACGGCCGTGGCGTTGGGGACAAGCACCTCGTGCCGTCGCAGGTGGCGCACCAGCGCATACACTGGGTGGTTCTGAAAGTCGGCGACGTTGCGCGGCATCGGCTCGCGCGACTCGGTCGCATTGAGCTCAATATCTTCGATTTGGTCGACATCGGTCAGCGCCGACACACAAAAGTAGCGCAGCGCTCGACGCAACCACTTGGCTCCCGACAGGTTTGTTGGAGACGACAACGTCCGCGGCGACGACGTCGGCGGCGCCCCCGCAGAGGAGGCTGCCGCTTTCGATGCGGCAATTGTGGGTGCCGGTTCGATGAGACCGTCGATGCGCGTACGCTTCGTCTTGGCATTGTACGCCTTGGCATAGCGCCGGGTGACGTCCTTGGCGTCGCCCTCGGCGGCAAAGCCAATGGCATACGACAGCTGGTTGTTCTTGTCCGCCGCCGGCGGCTCCAGCTTGGCCGCCTTCCACTGCGAGCAGGTGACGAGCGGGTCGACGGGCTGCCACTTTTGGTGCGCGGCATCCAGTACTTCCACCCAGTAGACGGGGAACGCCGACTCGCCGCGGACGACATGTCTTGACGACGAGGGGGCCGACGTGGATGGCTTGGGTGGTGTGGAAGGGACCGCCGGGACGTTGTACGCCGCCGCGTCGGGGTGGCCCAGCCGACGGCGAGGCGAAAGGAACATGGCCTCATTTTCAGAATCGCCGCTCGTGGCCTGGGTGGCGGACGGTGGCGACCGGTAGATGCTGGGTATTGGGTGGTCGTTTCGCGCTGGCGTCGGTTTGGATGGCTTCGATTTTGGTTTTGGCATCGTCGGGGCGTTCGATAGAAAAGACAACGGTTGCAGCGAGCAGACGAGCCGTGTCTCGACCCCTGCCGCGCGCAACAAGGCACAAAAGAGCTGAGCCCCTACGTCACGCGAGCCTTGCATGCTCTTTGCTGCGGCGATGAAGTCGTCTTTGTCGAGCACGGTTTCCGCGTCTTTGGGGAGTTCATACTATTAATGCGGTCTCCGTTAGACACTGGTAACATTCATGATGTGAAGGGCATCACCACACAACGTCCTCCGCCAACTCACGTCTTTCAACTGCTCTGGGCTTTCCGCCCACAACGCGCGCCGCATCCCCCGTTCCGTAATGCGGAACCGCGTCTTGAACATGGTCGCCACTTGCTGCAGGCCGTTTTTCAGCGACTCTGTCTGGCTAAACTGCGACAGATGGCCGCCTGGGTTGAGGGACGAGATCATTTTTGCCGTCAGCAGCGGGCGCAGCGCCTTTTGCACCTTGGCCGAGTTGCACCACCGGTTGCGTTGCGCGGCGTGCGCCAGCAGACAGAGCAGATGCATCTTGTGGATCTCGATGCGGTGCATGCGCTCGGCCCGGCTCAGCGGCTTCTTTCGGCTGGCCGGTGCTGCCCTTGCACCCCAGCGGCCATTCCGTCGTGTCGGCGCCGTCAGGACGCTCTCGTGCTCCGTGAGGTTTAGCTCCAGGGTGTCTGTCGTCGCATTCGTCTGATTTGGTGGTCCACTGCCGGGTTTTATCGGTGTAGTTGTTGCATTGCCTACGTCCTCAAATACGAACTGGTGGCTGCTCTCTTCGTCTTCTTCGTCTTCTTCGTCATTGTCGTCGTCGTCGTCGTCGTCTTCATCCTCCGAGTCGAGTTCCCTCGTTTGGATGACGGGCTCTGGGATCACAATGTCCTCAAATTCCACGTCGTCTGCCGCGTCCTCGTCGTCCTCCTCTTCGTCTTTATCTACAAAGACAACCACATCTGCGACCGATTTCTGGGCAGATCGGTCGCCGCGCATCGGGAGGTCGCTCTTCTGCCCCGGCCGCTTGATTCGCTTCACAGGCGGCTCGCCCGATTCGCCAGTCAGGTCAATCGTCGGCTGCACACCACGCCGTCGCGCTGATGGACTCGGCACGCCAGCCTCCATCAGCATGTCGCGGTACACACCCGGCAGGCCCATGTCGCCGTCCCCGGTTGCAGCAGCAGCATCTCGGCGTCGCTGGCGAGCTGCGGTCACGCGCTGCTGCTGCCGCTGTGCCGCTGCCGCGCGCAGCGTGACGCCGCGATGCTCAGCGGTACCGCTGCGCCGCCTGGCCACCATCCTGACCACCGGACAAAGAGGTCACGAGGAGCGTCGACGAGTGCTGAGGAGGGATGCCGTTGCTCGCGATGTCGTAACCGATTAAACCCAAAAAAGAAAAAAAGAACCCAAAAGCCAAGCTGGGTCACTCAAGAAAGGAGGCGCATGTTGTGTCGCATAGTCGTATGTCGCGCTGACGTCAAGTCTGGCATGGCAGCCCACAGATTGTAGGCAGCAAAGGACAGTTGCCGATCAAATGGATGTGTCGGTTCATGCAATCAAATGCGTCCAGTGCCTCAGACCTGGAACCAAAAGGTGGCGCCCCGCGTTTTAGAGACCAAATCGAGTTGCGAATCTACCGCGAAAGCACGTGACCATCATGACGTACTTAAATGGCCTCCCCTCCCTCACCAAAGTTCTGTAAAGCTAGGCCTGCAAGTCAATATACAACATCCACGTTTGTTCATACAAATTTGTACTTTGAATTATAGTCGTTCTCGATTGGCTGTCCTCAATTGAGAATATTTCAATTTGTTTCGTTTTGTTGACTACGTCTTACATTTTACATATATATATAAAAAACCGACCTGTGGTCCTCACAAGCTGTAATGGCAAATAATGGCACCAGAGGTCGAGGAGGCAACGCTCCCGCCCGTGCTGGCAGGCTAGGAATACGAGGAGGGCCTCCGAGGGGGCCGTCACGAGGGTCGTTTGGAGGTTCTTCGACAACCTCGGGCTCTGGACCAGACTCACCATCCAACGCCGTCCCAGCAAACTGGCCGTCCAATGTCACCTACCTGACAACGCCCGTCTACGCTGGCATCTCACAACGACAGCGCAAGATGCTGCAGACACAGCCGGCCAACCTGCCCGGTGCACCGGCGTCCACCCCGCCGCTGTCGGAGGTGCCGTCCATCCTGCGCTTTGGACCCAGCCCGCTCGTCGAGATCCGCTCCATCACCGACCCGCACCATCCAGCCTGTGGCCAGCGGGGCCTCTTTGCCGCCCGCAACCTCCGCGCCGGCTCCTTTATCCTGCCCTATCTGGGTGTCTACCACCGTGGCAATGTCGCTGCTGGACGACCGGGCACCAACCCGCACAACAAGCGCGAGTCTGACTACGATCTCTGGCTCGATCGCGAGGCCGACGTCGCCGTCGATGCCGACCGCCAGGGCAACGAGGCCCGCTTTGTCAACGACTACCGGGGCACCGGCAAGCCGCGGGCCAACGCCGAGTTCCGCGAGGTCTGGGACCCGCGGCGCGGCGAGCGCGGCATGGCGGTGTTTGTGCTGCCGGCGGGCAAGCGGGCTCTGCTGCAGGCGGCGGCGAACGGACAGAGCAGCAGCACGGTGGGCGGCATTGCGCAGGGCGACGAGATCCTGGTGAGCTACGGCAAAGGCTTTTGGGAGATGCGGCAAAAGGAGGCGGAAGAAGCGAGGGCCCAAGAGACTCCCGCCACGGGCGAAGAGGGAGAGACAGCAGCAGGGGAGCAGGCAGCCGGTGCATCCGCTCTGTCGACTGTGCCCGAAACCGAAAGCACAACGCAGCCGGAGGCGGCTGAAGAAGAAGAAGACACGGAAGAGGAGGAAACAAAAGCAAAAGAAGTAGACGTGAGTGGACGCCCACAAGCAGAGTCCGTCTCAGACCAAATGGGCTCGCTGAAAGTGGTCGGCAAGTTTCCCAAGAACATCGCATGGGCTTGATGGGATGGTGTTTGTGTATGACGATGATGGAATGTCTCTAGCAATACTCTAAAGTGGAGGCACCAGACCGGTGTGTCTCATGTACTCTCAAAAGGCGTGGCTCCCTATGCGTCCCGTCCCGCCACTTCCTACCGCGTCCTCGTTTCCACCGCCATCTGACAACGCGCCGTCTTCCCGTTCAGTAGCCCATGGGCCTCACGCTTCGCTCGTGACTGCGTTGTGGCCCAGAGGCCGATGCTGCCCAGCAAGAGCGCAAAGATGACGACACCAAGGGCAACAGCCACCTGGCTACCCGTCGACAAGCCCGAACTGCTTCCACCGTTGTTGTTGCTGCTGCTGTCTGGGAAGGTGATGCCATTTTGCCCAGCTGGGCTCGAGGGTGTTTGGGTGACAAGCGCACTGCTCACGGTCAGTGGAGGAGTGGCCATGTTCGATGGCTGCGTCGACGTTGCGTTTCCCGCTGCTGGAGCAGGCACGTGCGGTGGCGTGAAGAAGGAGGTGTTGTGGTTGGTTTTCTGGGAATGTGCGTCACCGTTCTGATTACGAGTACGGGAATGGGAAAGAACGAAGAAGGACGGGCTGCTGGCAACATAAATACACATAGAAGGCAGGGACCTCTTTCCTTTTCAATAGGAAGGCGCGAACAGCATGGCATTGGCATTAGGGGGTTTATGGCTTTGGGATTTTGCAAGCCTATGGCAACGAATGAGATTCATAAACCAATAGATCGTTTATGACGGTTTCCATCCAAGAAAGACACGCAGTGGGCCGTTTGCTTTCTGAGAATTGACAGAAATCTGGTACATCCAGCACGTACACAGGCTCCCCGAGACAAAACCGACATAGAAGAGTCCAAGGCAAAGACGAGTTCTTTCCGAATACGAACAACGAGTATCAACGACAACTTGACGATAGTGGAGGAAGGTGGTACTGTCGCAACTGCCCCGGTTTTGACATCGCTCATGTCAGCTGTATCATGTCGAGATCAGCCGGGGAATGTAAACAAACATAGACTCCCATTGCCTGTCTACTTCTCGACCACATCTGCACCACACACCACACGCACCATCATAGTTCAGGTGTGCCAAAAATCGTTACTCTGTTTCGTTTAGTCTACACATATTACCACAACAGCAGCCATGACGGCAAATCGCATAGCAAAGCCCGCGTCGCCGACTGGGAAGCAGTCACCAGCTTCACAAGCAGGTAAAGGAAGCACGCCGAATCAGCAACAAAATGCGACGAATCCCACAGCAGCCGATACGGCAACATCTTCCTCGCTTTCCCGTGCCAACGGGTCTCTGACACCGGCGGACATTGACGCAATGCCCGAGGCTAAGTTCCTCTCGCAGGCCACGTCTACACCCGAAGAGACGCCAGCTCCGTCCCAACCTGTGGCCGCTCCCGCATCTCAAAAGCCGCGTTTGAACAGGATCGGTGCTCACCTTCTGAAAAAGGCCGTAATAAGAGAAAAACAAAGGTTCGAAACGTATCTTATTGAATCAACAGGGACAATTGGGCACGTTACATGCAACCCATCACGAACACCCAGTCCCGAAAAGATTTCTGAGTCTGGTAGTCAAAACAACACTCAGTGCAACACTCAGGTTAGCCCACAGACAAGTCCACAAACAAGTCCACAAACAAGTCCACAGAGCGGTGCTCAAGATGGTGTCCAAGTTTCTCCCCAAGGTGGTGCCGGTGGCGTTGCTCGTCCTACGCTGCGGCTGGTCGCAAGCGACACCCAGGAATCCGGGGACGCTCCTCCTGAGTCAAATGCACAGGCTCCTTCCGGTGCTTCCAGTGGCGATGGCCAAGCCCCAGCAAGCGTGCCGAACGCTGCGAGTCCCGCCGATGCTACCAGCATTAGGGGCGGTGGTCAGGCAGAGCCGGTGTCCAACAGCAGCACGGGCGATCCTTGGTCAGGCAGCACACAAGCTGTGCAAGGCCTCGCTACCAGCTCATCCCAGCCTGCACCCCGACCGAACGCACGCGATCCTGAGGCAGGAGGTCCCTCCAGCGGCCGCGAGATGGGCTCCCAGACCGATTCTCCAAAAGAGCAAAACAACAGTGGTGGGTCTGGACGAGATGAGGCTGGCCAACAGCAGCCGAACATAGCCGAACAGCTCGACGATGCTCTGCGACAACATGTTAAGCGTACCCGCCGGCACAAACTCTCTGCTGTATTTCTCTGCAACAGAGAGAGGAACACGGTGGGAGAGGAGCGCCGACGGCGATCCTTATTCCGGTGCAGTCGACGCGCTGGACGAGATGAAGCTAGGGACGCGCAGCCCGACGCACGGCAGGTCGAGCAGCAGGGTGTACAGGACGCTCAACGGGTCGGCTTCGGACAGAATAATAAACCGGACGATGGCCCTGTGGCGTAGTCGGTGAGATGGTGGCCGAGACAAAGCCACCTTTGGCGTTATGACTGTATTCTCTTTACAGTAGATATATCGTGCTGGCAGGTGCATGATGATGCATGATGGGAAAAAACCATTGTTGAATAGAACTAGGTTTGCCCCTCTGAGATACATGCCCTATTGTGCGTTTAACGAGAGCCCGAGAACAAGTGGACGTACTGTTACAGAAGAGGCCAAGGGTATCCTGCATGCATGCTTCGTCCGGCATAGGCAGCTTCTTGACAATATGGCGATAGAACCCTCTTGTAAGCGTATTTTGTGATGTTTCATCTGTACACCAAATGTACCCTCTATTGAGATGAGATCAATTGCTGTCAGTGTAAATCAGTGAGATATTCTCCAATCACACTTCCCGATTTCGTCCATTCAAAAATATCGAGAGCCATCACAGGCCTTCTTTGCATATTGTACTCCATACCGTGTGCTGCATTTTGTCTGTTGGACGACTTGCACCGAGCACCTCGTGCTTCTTATTGGCCAACGCATTTCTTATTTCGATGCATCCAGACTGTCCAGCTGTCCAACTGTCCGTGTGAGCCTACTGCTCTGCTCACTACCATAATTTGCCCGCTACTTTTGGCCCCCAATACTGCTCCCCTGCGTTTTCGTCCTCAGCCCTCAGTGCTCACTTGCCCACTGCTATGCACATGTACACAGCTCATATGTCATATCGGTTCTGGACGGACTGTAACCCGAGAGATCTCTGCATCGCTTTCTGTTGCTCTCTTTTATTTGCCACAGTACCCTCGTATGGCCCCCAATACGGCCGTTGCCACAAGCGCACAGAATGCTGAAAGTATGTTGGTCAGGAAAAATGAGATTGCACTTCTTCAATAGCCCCCGAAACGGGGTACTGAGCGCGGCACGTCTCATGTTGTCTCCCTTCGCCGGCCCCCCATTTTCTTCTTTTCGGACGCTTATCGAGACAACGAATATATTTGCGAGTCTAGGCCTGTAGGCAATTCTACGACGGGAGTGGTATTGCTCTGTCTCTGTCTCTGTCTCTCTCTCATTCTCGCTCTTATTTGGGCCTTTGGGTCTTTTCAGCCCAACGTAGAGTTGCGTTGCAATGACTTTTCTTTTTACTTCTTTGGGGCTTTCACACACCTTTGTGTTGCCGTCCATATTGAAATGCATACAACCTTCCCAGCCGCGCCTGGGCTCTTTGGTCCTCCAGCATCCATGTTAAAGTTGGACGCCAACAGTGGGAAAGCGAGGCAGCGTGACTTGTCCTGTTTTTCATCCTTTTTCATCCCTTCTTGCATGTCACAAAACTGTTCTTTTTCGGAGCCAAAATTTAAGTTATGTGCACTGCTTTTGGACTGCTGTCCCAGACGAAGTCACAGTAAAGGAAAGTAGAACGGAACGAAAATCAACAAGTAAAGAAGAAAAAGAAAAGAACGGCAAAAAAAGATAAATAAAAAAAAGTAGACAGGATCGTCGAGTCAAGGGAAATCCACTATCCAACAGACAGGATAAGTGCCGTTTGTGGAAACGGCTCGACCCTTTTATGAGCTGAAAATAAGCGAGAAGAAGACGCGAGAAACCAATGTGCGAACCGAGGGAGAGAGAAAATGGCCAGAAGAAAGTAAAGAGAAAGGAGAGCAAGCCTCGTTCACCGAACTGCGTCAGTCAGAGCCAACCTCTGTCTGGCCTGTTGCAGAACTGATGGGAAAGAAAAAAAGACCCAAATGACACAAAAGATGCAAGTACTCTGAGAGACACCGAAAATAAAAGCCAAGGGTCGGTGACTGGCTCTCTCTGGCTTGAGAGTCCACAGGGCGTTTACGAGATGCTATCTTTGTCGTGCGACACACGACTCTCCCTTCCCCTGCGCTCGAGTCTACCGTACGCCCTCACGCCGTCCTCCTGGGTCTTGGGTCGTTTCTGTGTTCCCTCACTTTGTTGTGTCTCCCATTCTCGTGCTTGTCGTCCCAGCGTGTCGAGATTTGCGATTCAGGTGTTCAGGCAGTCAGCCTCCCATTCAGCCACTTGGTATCGCGCGCCTTGCTGGGCTCGAGCCGCCTCGCGTTTCCACCAAACAAAGCAGTGTCGAGCCACGCAGGTCACCCAACTCTATTGTTCTCCGTTCTCCATCGTGACCAAACGTGACTGCAAGCACCCTGTCGGCCACCCATCCTTTGTGAATGACCGTGTTGAATGTGACTGGGTATTTTGCATCTCACAATAGAAAAAAGAGGCCCGTAGCCACACACACATCCACAATCGTCGGGACGTGCCCACCCGGCGATCAGCAGGGAATTACGGGTGATGTATGCGGGAGGAAACGAGAGGATATGACAGGTTCAGGAGATTGAAAAAAGAAAGCATCTCTGTACACCGTCACGCCGTACGTCGTACGCCCCCCTTTTTTTGTCTTTACTCTGTTTTGCTTTTCTTTTCTTTTCTTTTCCCCCCCTGGCACGACGAATCCCGACCCTTTGTAAACCAATGAACGAATTCGCTACTCTCTCTGTATCATGCATCCGCCCATCGGAACTCGTTTTCTCTGCTTCTCTGCTTCACTGATTTTCTGCTTCTCTGATTCCCTTCCGCATCGCCTAAAAGGAAAGCTTGTCTGTTGGACCTAACAACCAGGCTATCTGATGGGCCATCGACAATACGATTTATCTGGTTCGTTTCCTGCGAGCGGGTCCTGACTGTTGGTGACAATCAACAGCGCGGCAGACATTCATTCCAAGCTGCCGAGTCAATAGAACAGGAAGAGGAAAAGACAAATCTACGAGGACCTGTCGAAACGTCGACGTGTTTTGTTGCTTCACCACACCTTTTATTTCTTTTCCTCTTGTCGTTTCGTGTCGACAATGTACTGATCGATCTTTTGTTTCCAACCGACTTCTCTGCATCTTCCTTTGTTCCTCTTCCGGCCCATTTATCGTCTGTTGCTCACGCACCCGCCGTCGCCCTTGCGTTGTCAGCGGCCCCTCTTCCTTGCATACAAGCTTTCTTTGTTGTTTCCGTTGGATATGACTCCGGGGCGCGGC